GATGTTTACCTGGGAGTGTCAAAGCTGTACCCGGGAGAGTCAGAGGAGTACCTGGGAGTGTCAGGGGTGTAACTGGGAGGGTCGGAGGTGTAAGTGGGCGTGTCAGGGGCGTACCTGGGAGTGTCAGAGATGTACCTGGGAGTGTCAGAGGAGTACCTGGGAGTGTCAGAGGAGTACCTGGGAGTGTCAGCGGTGTACCTGGGAGTGTCAGAGGTGTACCACCTGGGAGGTCAGGAGATGTTGCTGGGAGGCCTGGAGGTGTACCTGGGAGTGTCTGAGGTGTACCTGAGAGTGTCAGTGGAGTACCTGGGAATGTCAATAGTGTACCTGGGGGTATCGGACGTGTACCTGGGAGTGTCACAGGTGTACCTGGGAGTGTCAGATGTGTACCTGGGAGTGTCAGATGTGTACCTGGGAGTGTCAGCGGTGTAACTTGGGAGTGTCAAAGGTGTACTGGGAGTATTGGAGCTGTACCTGGGAGTGTCGGAGGTGTACCTGGGAGTGTCAAAGCTGTACCCGGGAGTGTCAGGGGAGTACCTGGAAGTGTCAGCGGGTACCTGGGAGTGTCAGAGGTGTACTGGGAGTATTGGAGCTGTACCTGGGAGTGTCAAAGGTGAACCTGGAGGTGTCAGAGGTGTACCTGGGAGTATCAGAGGTGTACCTGGGAGTATCAGAGGTGTACCAGGGAGTGTCATTGGACTACCTGGGAGTGTCTGAGGTGTACCTGGTGTAGGTTATGTATATAAGCTAATGTGCCGAGTAGCAACCCTGTACATAAGCTACTGTGCCGAGTAGCATTCATATATATTATCACGTGGCAACACTGCACGTGTTATGTGGCAACATTGCCCCGAGGCTGCCATATGGCAAGGCGCCTCAGTCTGACCGTGTGAGCTGTGCTTGGCACATGCTGGTCACCGCTTGTATTTCTCTCATCCACAATAAACGAACTCAGTGTTACTCAGTGTTTCCCTAGCCATCACTGCATTCTTCAGGGCACACTCGTAACCTTCATGGTGCAGTGTTTAGGATCTGTGAACTTACAAAGTGCGTGAACAATGCCGACAGTTACGTCTGCCGGTGATGCGCGTCGACTCAGTGTGTTGTGTTGTGTTGCCTGTGTTTCGCCGCGATGTGCAGTGTTGCTCCGTCACAGTGCGTTTTAGTGACGGTGCCAGTGTTAGTGTCAGTGTATTAGTGTGTGTCTAGAGCTGAGTTGAGCATTGGCCTGTCTTTTTTTTGTGGTACCCACGGAGCACGCAGGCGTACACCCTTCTCGTGCGACATCCGGGGGGACACTGACGGTCTTGCCGGACCACGCAGCTGTCCACGCTCCCTCCGCTCTCTGAGACACACACACACACACACGCACTCACTCACGGACAGGACAGTGGACCTGGACCATAAGCGTGATTTTTGTGCTGTTTATGTCTTATATATGTGGTTCGAGCTGTTGAGGCGCCACTTTATATATTAAACAGTGCAGTCCACGCACACACAAAGATGGGAGGTAAGAAGGGACAACGTCAAGATGGGAGACACGACTCCCCACCACCTTCCCCTCCACCCGGCGCAGACTCTCATCCTCCACCTCCTGTGACGGACATCGCCACAATTCTGAGGTGGATGGACGACCGGGACGAGCGACGTAGAGAAATGGATTTTCAGAGGGAGGAGACACGAAGAGAAGAGGAAAAGTTGCGTTTTGAGGCACTATTGGCGACCCTGGCGCTAACCCACCCTCCCTCACTCGCAGGTAGCGCGCTTCAAGGCACCAGTACACTCCTCCTCCACCACACCAGCGTCCTCCAGCTCCCAAGGCATCTGTTCAACCCCCACCCGCCCTCTCACCAGACGTCACGTTTCAGCTTTTTCGTGAGTGGAGGCGGCGTTGGACAGATTACTCCACGATGGTGGACCTTGACAGCATGCCTCCAAACAAACAGCTCATCCAACTGCGGATGTGTTTGTCGCTGGAGACCCAGAGAATTTTGGAGCACACGTTGCGAGTGCCTCCCGATTCTACCTCTTCAGTGACGGATGTGCTCGACCTTTTACAGGAGCATGTTAAGGGTCGGAACAACGAGGCTTTGCGTCGCTGTGCCTTTACCAGCTGCAAGCAGGCGGAGAACGAATCCTTTGACGACTTTTTTGTACGTTTGAAGAGTTTGTCAGAGGAGATCGACGTCTGCAAGGCGCACAGCCGGGAATGTGAGGAAGCCTGGATCAAGCACAGGATCTTGACAGGTGTCAGGCACGAAGAGTTGATGCAGCGACTCATCCCCCTGGACGCTTCCTCCACACTCCAGGTGGTAGTGACTGAATGTCAGTCATACGAGGCCACCAAGTCCGCCACCTCTGCCTTACGGTCTCCTCCTGCTGTGAGAGCAATCTCTCAGTACAAGAAGGGTAAGAAGGCAGCCAACAACACGAAGGCTGCCACACGTTCTTCCACGCCTCCGCCTAGTGCTTCCTGTGGCAGCTGTGGAAAGCAGCATGGCCCCAAGACTTGCCCGGCCGCCGACGCACTGTGTCGTGGATGTGACCGTAAGGGCCACTGGTCTAACACAGACAGGTGCCCTGCACGAGGCCGCAAGTGTCAGGCCTGTGGTCGCTATGGACACTACGACAAGTGCTGCCGCCAACCCAAGCCCAAAAGCCCGAGACGAGGAGGACAGCAGTGCACTTCCCTCAGGGTGGTTCGCACGCAGCCCCCTCCAGATGGCCCACGCAGCCCCAAGCAGCAGCGGAGTCACATCAGGAGGGTGGAATCGACCACACGCCCCAGGGCTACCCCTGCCCAGACCCTGTATGGTCACCCTCTCCGCTCTTGCGTTCCTGCACACACCAAGGCCTTTGCGAAGGACTGGCAGACCAGAGCCGAGAGCTGCTACCGCCGCACCGCTTCACGTGCCCAGGACGCCAAGGCTCGGTATGACGACCGTGCCCGCCCTCTTCAGCCACTGGAGATTGGTGCCCTTGCCCGCGTCCAGGACCCGACGACGACACGTTGGGACAAGGTGGGCATAGTGATGGGCGTCGGCCGGTCACGGGACTACAAGGTCAGGATGCCGAGCGGCCGTGTCTGGTGGAGGAACCGCCGCTTCCTCCGGCCAGTCCCACCCCCTGCTGCTGGCCTTCTGACCGAGGACGAGTCCCCTACACCTCACGAGGATCCGCCCCACAGTGCACCTCGACGCTCGGAGCGACTTAGGACTAAGAAGTCCGCTCAAGACAAAGACTATGAGCGTGAGGGGGGAGGGAGATGTAGGTTATGTATCTAAGCTACTGTGCCGAGTAGCAACCCTGTACATAAGCTACTGTGCCAAGTAGCATTTATATATATTATCACGTGGCAACACTGCACGTGTTATGTGGCAACATTGCCCCGAGGCTGCCATATGGCAAGGCGCCCCAGTCTGACTGTGTGAGCCGTGCATGGCACACGCGAGTCACCACTTGTATTTCTCTCATCCACAATAAACGGACTCAGTGTTACTCAGTGTTTCCCTAGCCATCACTGCATTCTTCAGGGCACACTAGTAACTTTCAGTGGTAACTTTTTGAGATATGTTCATGTGGATCACATCATTCAGGCACATGACGAGATGAATGTAGCACCAGGACATGATGATAAACTTGACACAGTTTCAGATGATCATGATGATGATGATGTCAAAGATGATGTTTCCCAGCATCCACTCACTGTGTCAACTAATTGTAGTGATGATATGTCTGTCACTGATAATGCACAGAGTGCAAGTAAAACCCCTGTAAAACTTGATGGAGGGAATAGTCCTAGAAGATCAAACAGAGGTAGGAGACCTGTAATTAAATTAGAACCTCTAATTATCTGAATTGTGAACAGGCCTTTCAAAACTGTTTAGTTAGGAAGTTATATTTGTTGTGTTCTATTCTCTTCTTCCCTGCCATATGTAATTCTGTAAGTTTTGTTTATTTAGGATTTGTAGCAGCCATGCTCTCTTTTGAAAGGGAAAAATAGTGTTAAATATATGTATGTTTATATGCTGCCTTTATTGAATGTATATATTATATATTATGTTACTTCTTACAAAATGTGTTAGGCACGTAGTAACCAAGAACAGAGAATAAACAGCCAGCCAGACAGACCATGTGACTCTTCATTCTCCCATTAAATAACCCAAGATACTACAACCTGCCCCTTCTCTAGCTACAGCCGCAGCAAGCAACACCAGTTCTCCCCACTCACGCTTGTAACCACGCTGCCTCCTCCCAGCACCAGCCACCAAGCTGCATTTTACATCCAATATAATATGTATACAGAGAGCACATCGTGAGTTTCCTTTCTCCATCCCATCCTGAGTGTGAACCAAATATCACGTACCCGACAGTAGAAAGGAGGACACTGAGGGTAGTGTCCCCCTCCTCATCACCGGGTAGGTCTACAGTTTCCAATCTTTAATTTTTTCTTTTATTTCTTACGGTTCTCACATGAACACTTTCCTGTATATTGTAACCTCATGTCTTATAAACACATATTTTAATCCTAAATTACACAGTAAAGTAAGGTTCTGGTTCGCTACTTCGTAGGTAAATTCATTGGGTTATAATATCAACGCGTCACACTCGAGGCGGGTACAAAAGCTGAATGATCACGACATAGGTATATCCACGTCAGTGACGTCACTTAAAACTGTAATTAGGGATCCTCCTCTCACACATTGCACTATTTGAACACAGACATAAGATTTTCTGATCACTGTACATGTCGTGGGTGTATACGAGGATACGAGGTGTATTAAGTTCACACCGATGCATACAAGATATTTCCTATGGAATGCTCTGCCTTCTGTGTTCCATACTCTTACAATCTCTCACTTTAAAAAGCTGGCTTTCCGGCATTTTCGTGGTGTAGATTAATATGGTCCTTTTCTCCTCTATTTCTAATTTCTTTTTTACTCTTATTCCCCCCCCCCTCCCCTCCCAGGGCCCGTTGAGGGTTGATGGGAATAAAATCAGTAGCAGTTAGTGCTAAGAGGAGCGAGTTATAGGCAGAGCAGCCGACTCAGCGAATGACAACACCGCCATGTCAACAACCGCACCAGTTGATTGAGAAAGTCGTGACTCATGTATTAATTAATTCATTTCATTCTCTCAGTGTCATTGTTACTGTGCACCTCTACTTCGGTCCCACACCACCTCCTACACCAGGGCACCTACTTTACAGTACTAGACTCAAGGGTAAGTGGTAGTAGTTGGGGGGTGAGGTGTACAGTAGCTGCCTGTGGGGAGGATAAAAACTACTGTAACCATGACTCAAGATTTACTTGGTGTTATCAGATCACGGTAGAGAGAGTGAAAGTAAACAGTTTTTCAATTTTACCTTTATGTGTTTGTAACGTGGAACAATTCATATCTAGGTGGATGTTTTTTATCTACATTTTACTTTGAATTTTTACTCCAGAAGCTGTTGCTGGTAGGTACCCTAGTGGTAATCAGAGCTTTAATACAGCTGGATTGAGGTAATACGCATGTTAATTTTAGTACATCTGCTTTTAAAGGAGTGAATCTAATTGTTCTTAAAAAATGAATAAATCTGATAATTGTGATAATTTACCAAAGCAATGAAGGTCTATGAGTCACAATATACAGGTGAAAGTATCATTGGTTAATATGGTTCCATGACAAAACCCCAATGGACAAAACCCCATTTGTCAACACTAACCTAACCTATCCTAACCTAAGCTTAAAAGTGTTTTATTTTATATTTGAGACTGGGGTTTTGTCCGTTGGGGTTTTATCCGGTCACCGGTTAATATATAGGACTAACCCGCCTCAAATTTCACCATATCATAGTAAGTTCTTCCTGTTTAATATACTGGGAAAGTTAGGTAAGGTTAGGTTTGGTTTGGTTCAGTTCTGGTGCCCATATTATAGAATGGATATCAATTCACTGGATTTGGTGCAGCAAAGAATGACGAAAATTATTCTGGGACTTAGATACTGGAATCAGCAGTTACATAAGCAAGTTTGCAGATGACACCAAAATAAGGTGGCAGATAAATTCAGGGCAGGATGCAAATGCACTACAGGAGGATTTAAATAAACTGCAGGGGTGGTCGGGTTAATATAAAATAGGCTAACAAATTATTAGAAGTGTAAGTAATAAAACTGCGGAGGTCATATTGCAATTATATCTTGCGCTAGTCAGGCCACACCTTGATTATGCTGCTCAGTTCTGGTGCCCTTATTATAGAACGGATATCAATTTACTGGAGTCGGTGCAGCGAAGAATGATGAAAATGATTCCGGGACTTAAAAACCTTCCATATCAAGATAGATTAAAGAAACTAAACTTGCATTCCCTAGAAAGACGAAGAGTGCGGGGAGATATGACAGAAGTATTTAAGTGGGTGAAAGGAGTCAATAAAGGAGATACAATATAGATAAAGTTCTTATAATATCCGAGCAGGATAGGATTCGTAGCAATGGATTTATGTTGGATAAGTTTAGGTTTAAGAGGGAGATAGGAAGGAACTGGTTCACAAATAGGGTGGTAGATGAGTGGAACAAGCTTAGCAACTTTGTAGTAAGTGTTGGGATGCTGGAAGGTTTTAAAAGGAGGCTAGATAGATTCATGGATGATAGAGGGTGGTTGTAACAATCGACAGGAGCGTCGATGCACAGGCCAACCGGCCTAATGCAGACTCCTTATTTTCTTATGTTCATAACCACAGATGTTAAGTAGCGTTTATTTAAAAAATATCCATTTTGTAACCCTTTAAGAACGAGTGGGTTAATCATCATCGTCATCAAAGGGTTAAACTATAGTCCAAGAGGGGTTAAACCATAGTTCTCAGTGGGTTAAAAATTAGTTCTCAAAAAAGGGTTAAAACATCGTCTTCAAAGGGTTAACATATTTCCACAAACTACAACAGTGTCCACTATAATATAACAATGAAAATCCGGCATTTTTCTAATTGTTTTCAATCAATTTCGCTCACGGGTTAGTCCTATATAATTATCTTTATGATAGTAACCAGGTCTCAATTTTTCCATAAATAAATACGTTTTTTAATTAGTTCAGACTATTTAGACACTTCTTCTATGGCATTTACACTCAGAAATTTATATTTTTCGAGTATTTTTAACAAAATTACCAACAATATTACAGCTGTAATTGGTTAAAGTGGTCATGGCTTTTAAATTGAGGGAAAATGTGGGGTAAAATACTAAAAATAACACCAGACAAACCTTTGAAAACCTGACCTAACGTTTCCTAACCTCTAAAAATCCTAAAACTATAAAATGTTTTCGGTGTTTACTTTTATCCTCTTCGTCATTGATCGGCTCGTTGGCTGCTTGGGCTGTTGGTCACGTCTTTGTTATGTACTGGTGGCAAGTATTGGGCATGCACTGGCCTCTGAATCTATCGGAACCTGTTCCAGTGTTGGTCAAATCTGGCCTTGAATGAGCTCACACTTGGTGATGGTGCTGTTTTCAATTTTTAGTATGTTATTGGTTTTTTCGGTGTTCAGATGAAGGATTCATACTTTTTACTGTTATCCTTTTTGCCACTTATCGGCTCGTTAGGAAACGTTAGGTCAGGTTTTCAAAGGTTTGTCTGGTGTTATTTTTAGTATTTTACCCCCACCATTTTCCCTTGACTTTAAAGCCCTACACTTAAAGCTAGTAATATTGTTGGTAATTTTATCAATTAAAATACTCGAAAAATATAAATTAATGACAGAAATGCCGTAAAAGAAAAGTGTCTTAGAATAGTTTGAACTATGTGAAAATGAATTTTTTTTATGGAAAAATTGAAATCTGGCTACTATCATAAATTGACCCCAGCTTATTTCACCTGAAAATTAACCACTCTAAAACTAACCTAACCTAACCAACCAAATTATCAACTGATTAAAAAATTATTAGGTATTGTTGCATTTTCAACCAATAGGCACCCTCCACCAGCCCTTTACGAGCCTCTCAGGCCAGTCCTGGACCCTTCACTGCTACTTAAGGTATTCATTCTAGGTTAGGTTAGGTTGGTTTTTGAGTTGAGCTCAACTCAAGAGCCATATTGTTTGAAAATGCAAATTTACCAATTATTGTGTATTAAACAGTAAGAGTTTTTATTTTACTTTCAGTCACAAGACCTGTAAATAAGAGAAAGTTTCAATCAACTAAGTAACTGAGGCAGCTGGTGAGAAGATTCTATCTTCAAGATGTCTTTAGCATCACAAAGTGCACCAGTACTCTCTAGGATTGTGTCGTTATCTGTAGCTATTGCAAATCATGCTGGCAAAATCATCCGAGACGTCTTGAAGAAAGGGGAGTTGGGCATCGTTCAGAAAGAGGTACAGTATGATATTGATGTTACTGTTAAGTCCTTAATTTTTTTGGTAATTTTGGATCACCTGAAAATTTGACACCCCAGTTTTATATTACACCTGATGATTAAGTAAGATGTGGCTCTTAGTCTAAAGCTATTGCAATTTTACACTTGTTGTAGTGACGTTGACTTGTGAATCAACAACAGTACAGGTATTCACTTTATACAAATATCACAAATAAGTGTTACTGCTGCCATGGCATTGAGACGTCCATATTTTTTTTTTTCGGAATTATTTGAACTGGGTCAAACAACCTAGCAGACCTGGGGGCGAAAAAAAAAGAACAAAGAAATTAAAAATAGAGAACTAAAAGGTTATACAGTATTGTGTTAATCTATATCACGAAGATGCCGGAAAACCAGCTTTTTAAAGTGAGACAGACTGTATAAGTATGGAAACACAGAAGAAGGCAGGGCATTCCACAGTTTGGCTGTGTGAGGAAAGAAGGAGGTACTATAACGGGTTATTCTCGTGTGACCGACATCCACAGAGAAACAATGGGCACCGCGGGCAAGACGTGTGTTACGAGCCCACGGCCTTGCCGGTGGTACACAGGATGTCAAATCCACCGAACATTGCCCGTTAAAGTACCTGTAAAAGAGAGAGAGTGAAGCAACATTGCGGTGAAGAGAAAGGGGAGAGAGATTGTCGACTAAAGGAGGAGAGTTAATAAGACGAAATGCTTTTGATTCCACCCTATCTAATAGTTGGACAGAAGAAGAGCCACCCCAGATATGAGAGCAGTACTCCCAGTTAGGACGAATGAATCCCTTATATACTTGGAGCAACTGCTCAGGAGTGAAGTAGCTATGGCATCTGTACAGCATTCCCAACTTTCGGGTTGTAGCATGTCATTTATTTTATTTTATTTATTTATTTGTTATTTATAAATTTATTTTATTTATTTATTTATTTTACCCTGGACACAAACCAAGTAACTGAGGACATTATAGCACAGGCAATACAACATCTCACCCTGCTATTGTTGGAGTCGGAATTTTGATGATTAAACGTTTACTTATCAGTCAAAATAATGCCCATTTACTTGTTGTTACCAAGTCATCAGGATTGCTGAATGTTGTAAGTGGTTGTCATGCATCAGAGGCTGTACTGTACAAGGTTTCTTTGGTCAGAATGCTCGGGACCTCCAGACCGAGGCAGACAGAGCAGCTCAGAGGTGTATCATCAGCTCCCTCAGTCAGTGCTTCCCAAAAATCACCATCATAGGTGAGTAGGGCTGAAGTAATCTTTTAAGAATATGTAAATCCAAATCAAAGATAATTCTGCCAACATTGACATAAAATACTAAATAAATTAAAAAGAAATCCTTCTTGATATAGCATTTTTTTTTAAACACTGATCTCATGCAGTCATCAATACCCTGTGGTGTACTCACTTTGATGGTGAAAGATTTCTCAAGCTGCTGTAAGTTAACACACTAGTGTAGTTAAAAGTCTTTCTTTGTGTAAGAGATAAATGTAAAAATAATGATTCTTTTATCTTGCAGGGGAAGAAGGAGATGAAGAATCAAAGCAGATTAGTGGTAAGGTCTATGATCCCACACCTGAAAGTACGATACAAGTCACCTGCCCACCGCACTTGGCCTCACTGGGAGAAGAAGAGGTGCCGTCAGTGTTATTTGACTTAACTGCTCCCTATTTGCCATTGTAATTGATCATTTGTAAACCTATCAGGTTAATCAATACAGTATTCATGCTTATGCAAACCTGGCAAACTTCTGCAACTTTTAATTTTCTGAAATTGTTTTATTTTATTTTTATTTTACTGTAGAGCAGAACTTTACTACTTCCCTCTTGCATCTTCATCATATTATTTTTATTATTTCACCACTTTATCATCTTACTAGCTATTCAGGCAGTTGCTACTTTGTTAGGAAGCATGGTAATTCTCAAACAAGTGCAGCAGGGAGGGATCCAGGAATATCTAAAGGAGGGGGGGTCCAAGAGGTTGTGGGTGGGGGAACTTGGCAAACGCAGCAAGCCCACCCAATATCATGGGATTTTGAGGCCATTATGAAGCCATGTGCACTTGATATTAGGAGATATTCTAAAGTCAATACTAAATACTTTTTACTATACAAAAATGGCTGAGTACAATACTGCATTAAAGAAAAAGTATTGGAATTTTCTGGTGAAAGGGGAAGTCTGAATCCCTAGGACCCCCCTTGGTTCTGCCCTTGTGCAGTATGATTATTTTGAGACCAAGATTTAAAATGATTGGATTTTTCAGTTGCTAAGATCCCCTCTTGCTCATTAAGTAAAATTATTATTGTGTAAACTGATATTCTCTTTCAATGCAAACTTACAGTAAAAGAAGACATTCGTCATTCTTGTTTACGAACCTATTTTAGCTGTCCCATTAGGCAAAATTTCAGAGCTTTATGATGGTATAGTAAAAAAAAAGATTGTCAAACTTTTCTGGATTTACACTTCCCTGTCTTTCAGATTGTTGTGTGGGTGGACCCTTTAGATGGTACTGCTGAGTATACACAAGGTAATAGTCTGACCTTATAAACACCTCTTAGAACTCTCGCAGTTTATCTTCTCCAGATCTATATAAATTGTACATCTTAATATTTTTGGCAGACCTTTTTGTGAAATCTGTCTGTCTGTCTGTCTGTCATTACCCAAAGAATCAACATCACCTCAGGTTCATGAATATCATACAAAGTTCATTAGATTATACTGTAATGTAAATTTACTTAGACAAGTATTAATTGCTGGTCTTTGATACATATTACTGTGAGTACAATGAGTACTGTACTGTAAGGGGTTTAAACTCTTATGCTTTAAAGTTGTGAATCTTGTGTTGTCCATAGCCTCAGGATCTCCGTTATTTATTATGTACAGTATTGTGTGTTGTCTTATTCAGTGATGCTTCTTTGTTTCAAGGGATAGCTTCGGGGAGAAGTTTTCAAATTTTACCAGGCCGTGAAATTGTCATTTGTATGTATCTCCATGAAACCCTAGTGTATACGTGTCTTTTACAGATTTCCCCGTTTCTTCGTACGATGTAGCAAATATCTTCGAATTCAGTGGTCTGGGTTTTATAAAAGATACAGTTTTGAATACTTCATTGCATACATCTTTTAATTATTGCAGTGTAAGTGTGTGGTGGTGATGAAGACAGCTGTGATTATGTTTAATGAATGGAGGTCTATTTTTATGCTTTCCACAGCACC